GTGTGTGTGTGTGTGTGTGTGTGTGTGTGTGTGTGTGTGTGTGTGTGAGGGAGATAAAGAGAGAGAGAAAGAGGGAGCTGACACATAATGAGGTGCAAGAAAAAGCCTACACTCTGCATTGTACTGAGAACAAAATAATAATAACAGCAGTGACTTGAGGCAGGAAAATCCAATTACAATAGCTGTTACTCCCTCTGCTGGTGGACAGCCATGAGGGACAATAGAAGTGATTTGTCCAAATTCCACCCAAAGCTTAAGTAGCTTCACCCTCTGCCCTTTTCCAGTGGAGGCACTTGCCAGAATATGGGCTTTGGGGGAAAACATGGGGCTCGGCGGTGGATGCTGATTATCCCAAGAATTGGATGCTTGTGAAAGCTCGTGGACGAGACAGCACGAGGGCATTTCGACTGCACACAGATGGATGCGCAGTAGGCCTCCACTGAAGACATATATAAAGTTCAAAGCACGAAAACTCCTTTGCACACACCTGGTTTACCAGCTGACAAAAGCAACCTGTTTTGTAATCATGACAGCTGTGTGAGAAGGTCATTTGCAATACTGACAATCTGAGGTCACATTTGGATTAAATTTCAATGTACGCTTTAAGTTTAAGGTTGTCTTGGCTCGTAGGATCTTCATTTTACCTGCAAATCTCACCTCACTTTAAATGCACAGTTGAATGCGCTAAAATGAATTCTAAAAGACTAATTTCAGCTCCATGTGCAGTGAACAGGAGGCGTCGTGAGCAAAATTCTGTGGCATATTTGAGACGGCAGCTGTCCATCTGTTAATTCCCTGCCTTTCCTTAAACTCTTCCAAACTGGGCTTCCCGCCTGTGTTGGTGGTTTTAGCGGTGGGGACTGTGTATGCTGACCTACACCCTGATGGAACAGGCCTGGAGGTGGGTGACATTACACTAAAAACGCACCCACTCACCTCACATCGAAGTCATCTGCATAAAGATTTTTTTTTTTTTAATTAAAAAACATCACCTCTCTCTGTGCATATGCATTATGCAAATAGTGTCATCAGGTCCTCTATGTGCCCGGAGGTGAAGCAGAGGAGAAAGCAGACTTCAGGTTGTGGGTGTGGAGAAGCATAGTTATAACTGTGCATTAATATTAATAGGGTGACGTCGTGGGAGGCTACCACGAGGGAGATCAAACTGACTGGCGATATTTTCGCTTTAAATTATGTTGATTTTTCTAAAGTATGATATTGTTGATTGTCTCGCGATGCACCGTCCATGGAGAGGTATGGATATTGTAATGATCTCCTCATAATGTTATTCTCATTTTCAGTGGTCGTTTGCCTGTTCCGGTCAGACTTTAAGTTTATGGTTTATCCAACTTTCTATTCACCTATTTTTTATTTTATTTCTATTTTTTTGTGGTGGGAAGTAGAAATAAGACACCTGCTAGAAGTAAAAAAGCAAAGCTGATCTCACCAGGTGAAAATATCCCCTCCAATGAAGAGCAGCCCAAGACTCGGCAGAAGGAAAGTTGGGATCTCCATTCCGCACGCTTTGTGGTAAATAATTGAGGGTAAAAAGAAAAAAAAAAAAGTTTCCCGGAATGGAAATCGACGACAAAAGCCCACCGCCAAGAGCTTTATTTCAGCGCGCTCTCCTCGTGATCCGGCGCTGTCGAGAACAAAGTAGAGTGTGGTGGTGCTGATGCAGTTGAGGATGATGGTGGTGGTGGTGGTGGTGATGATGACCCCATGGTCATGCTCCCCAATTCCTCCGCGTCCAGGAGCGCACAAGAGCAGAGCGCACCGAGGAAAAGAAAAACTCCCGATCCGACCGCAACAACGAGCCGATCCAACGCTGCCGCCGCCGCCGCCGTCTGTCCGCCGGCAACAGAGCAGAGAGAGGGGGGGGTGAGATGGAGGGATGGAGAGAGAGTCACTAATCTGTCAATTTCCTCCGTTGCTTGGCTTCTAAGCGTCAGATTCAATCTGGCCAGGGGAGGGAGGGGCCACGAACACTATATTATATAATGTTAAACACATTCGAATCAACCCATTAGGTAATTACTGTCTCCAATAAAGTCGTATTTCACTCTGGTGGAGAAGAAAAGCATAGTGAGGGACCCAATGGGGCCCAAAGGGTCACTCAGAGGTAATTGAGTTGGTCTGGGGGACAGTAGCACTCCCCCCCCCACCCCCCACACACACCCCAGTATCGGTTTCTGATTCTGGGAAAGTGCTGTAAATCTGAACTATATCTCTCATCAAATCCCACACATTTAGGATATACTTTTGTTTTATTTATTTTTTAAACTAATGTAATAACTAATGTAATCTATTTTCACTTTCATTCACTTAGCCTGCCCCCCAAAAATAGTATGAAAACATTTATATAAATACCACAAACCATTATATTCAAAACCATTATTCTTAAACTTGCTAATACTTCTCCTATACAGTGTTGTCATCTGTTTTGAAAAAGTAAAAACATCTGAGTGACGCACCTGCAGCTTGGCCTCAGACAATTTCTGTTCACTGTCTCATTTTGCTTTGACAATTCAAAGTGTTGATTGACTGTCTGCCGAGTACTGTGACTGTGTTCGCTTTATTTTGACCCACTTTCGCCACAGCGTCTATATTCGGTTGAAATGTGTCCGGGTCCTTTTCCATGAGGTGCTCACATTATTTCGTCTCCCCAGTTTGAGGTCACCAAATCCAAGAGGCCTCAACAAAGATATATAATAGATTATGAAGCAAAAGGAAAAACAAGGTAAAGTCATAAACCCATCTCCGCACGTTCATTTTTCTATGAATTTCCAAGTGAATTATTTCACTATAGAGATATGAGTCCCAGAGGTAAGCCTAAATCTCCTTTCACATTGATTAAAAAAACATATATAGGATTGATAGGAAATGTATCCTCCATTCTATCAAAATGTGCAGGCTTTTATTTTCTCCTTATTAAAAGTAACCTCTTTTATGTGCTGTGTGGAGAGTGCGTGTTGCAGGAGTGCACCTGCCCTGATTTCTGCTGCCTCTCCCTGGGGAGCAGAGGCAGGCCTGGAGTCGGTGGTGGTGGTGGATTCAAACCCCAGTCTCTCTCTCTCTCCCACCGGACCTTCCAGTTGGATTTGCACTGCAAGCTCTTTTGATATAAGATACCAGAATACGGTGCACACTACAATGCACTGCATGGGACTTTATTCTGTGTCTCTCCAACACCATTTCTCATTCCTTTTATTCCTCTCACCCTCATGTATTCTCTTTCTCCATCTCTATCTGCTCTCCTCCAGTTGATCCATCCTTCATGTTAGCTGGAGTCTTTGTATCCCTCGCAGTGCCTTGCCTTTGTCTTTCCAACAAAGCATGCCCTCTATTATACATCACACTCTCACACACACATACACTCATACTTTTATTTATTCAGTCTCCCTCGGTGATCCAAAATATTCATGTATCACAAGTTTTTAATATGTTACGACACACTTCTGTCCTTCTTCTTCTTCTCTTTCCTCTTCAACATTATGATGAATTGAGCTTTAGTGTGTCAAATAAAAGAGAATCTTTCCAGTAAAAAGCCCATTGTGCCGGTGCAATACTGATCAACTACAAATCAACGTCTTTTCCCGTGTAAATCAGATAGCAGCCTTGCATGCTTGACAAAAGATTTTGCATAACTCACAGATTTATCATTGTTCTTTCTGAACCAGCTGAGACATTTTCTGCTGAGTCTGGCATGACTGATATTAATCAGATGAAATAAACTAGTGTTGGTGAAGGAAATTATAAAGAAGGTAACAGCAGACAGGAAGTTACAAAATGCAATTTTAAAGAATCATTTTAGAAGAACAACAGCATTGTAGCCTTATACTCAACCACTTATTCCTACTCAAACATAAGTAGGAGTGGCCCACAGTGTGATTTTAAAATAATAAAAACTCTTTTAACGTCCTTTTGGGTCATTTCAGTGGATTTATGGATCAGAATGACACGATATGTTGTCACCACAGTAGTCTTTCATGTTCATTTTTCTACCAGTAGGTTCCAGTTGAAAGTTCATTTGACAGACGTCCTTAACAGTCGTCTCGAGGGACTGCAAGGCCTCGCCCCTTGCGTCCCGTCTCCTTGGAAACACTAACAAACATGGCGGAGTAACTTTTGTAGTGAGAAAAAGTAATTTTGAGAAGATGTCTTACCAAGAGGTGGAAACCCTAGACAAGCGAGGTAACGGCTTAATGTTCGTTAAATGAAGTTGTTAACTCTAAATGTTGTACAGCCTAAATGTAGCATTAATTGTGCATTAACGTAGCTAGCTAACGGCTAAACTGTCTAGCTTCCCAAGCTATAGCTAGCCACTGTAGGGAAACGACACGCCAAATTCCATTCATAAATCTGGTCATTGAATGTTGTCTTACTCAGTGACAATGTCACACACCTCAAACATACGACTTAACATCTGCTGCAAATCACTAAGAGTCCATCTTTGAATCGGCCGACATAGCTAATCCACTAAACAACATTTCAAAATGACTTTTCAGCTTTTTAACGAGACCAGCGGCCGTTGTGGACAAGCAATTAAGAGCAAAACATCGAAATGATGCTAAAATTCAATAGCGTTACTGATAATTAATTAACACCATGTCTGCCGGATAAAAGCAGTTGCTTCCAACAATTCAATGAGCAATGCCACGTTCAATTGCCGGATAACTGAAGAGTTTGTTAGCCTTCAGCCCATTCTTGGGGACATGTTGAAGTTCTAGGTTTGTCTGCTAATATGCACCTGTGTCATTCATAAATCAGGTGAAATGGACGTCGAAGACAGGGACAGTCCATTTGATGTGGCGCCAGACAGATATGGACTGCTGAGTGTCCACCTCAGCACTGATGAGGACAGCGATGGTGAGTGACAACCCCTGTTGCTGCCTTGTTGTTGCTCAAATGCAGCTTGTAGTCTCAACTTGTAAGATGTGTACATATAACTGTCTATTTTACCAGGGTTTTAAGAGACTGGGATCCCTCACTATAATAAATACATGTTTATTTCAGAAGATGCTCCGGACCAGGAGACCTTTAACGATGAAGAGCCAGCCCTTCCTCCTCCTGATTTGAAGTGGTTAGAAGAGTTGTATGAGTGAGTGTTTCTTGCTTTTCTGTGGATCATATCATAAAAATATATTATATATCAATCCTGTTGACTTAATGTGATTTTCAATATGATATTTTAATAGAAAATAGCAAAGCTAATTATGATTGTGATAGTTTTTACATCGTAAAACCTCAGTACAAACACATCCAGGCATAATAGTGGTCTAATTTTATGCATGTACATAACGCATGACCAGATTTTGCATTAAACATGCAACCTTTCCAAAATGTCGTTTTCCATCTGCCCGTAGAGATGACCATGGTGATGTTGACCGTGATGGTGACCTTGCGGTTGCGGCCGTGAATGGTAAGAAGAGGCGTTGTGCCGAGACAGCACGGATGTTCAAGCTGAGACGAAACCTGGACCAGCTGGACCGCTTTCACAGACAGGAGGAGGATGACGTGCTGAAAGCCAGGTCTGGACCTGGCAATCAACAGACCTCTCGAGCCACAGTAGCACTAAGAAAAAGCAAACAATTTCCCACAATCTTTTCCGTTTCTGAAAAAGATCTTATTTTTCGGTTTTATTCCACTTTCCCAGGTCATTCCCCTCTTGCCCTCTTCACTCAGAGCCAATCATTTCTATACCAATTGATTCAGCTATTTGCAGGAAATCATTTCAGCTGCGGAGAGAACAATTTCCCATAATGTCCCCTCTTCCCTCTTTTTATTTGTCTGCACTGCGAGCCATTAAGCACCCGATGAAGTGTGATGCGGTCCCCAGCAAAAAAAAATGTTTGTCATTTTCCTTTAGCAGAAAACATCAAAGGTCAGAGTAGAGCTGTACTGCACTGTGATCAAACACAAGTTTAATGGAACCTAAGCACACCTGGCTTTTAACCAATCTGCTGCTCTTGCTGTACCATGTGCCGTGATTTTCCTTTTTCCCCGCTCACAGATCGTTCTTTTGCACACCATTAAACTGCAAAAATAAACATTAGGCAATTCAAAGCTGTTGAGGTGTGTGTGTGTGTGTGCCCACTCTCAGCTTTTAAATATCTTCATTAGATTACTTTGTTAGCCCACAGAATTGCCTTCCTTTTATTGCAATGGCCACGAGGAAATCCATTAGCTTGATGCTTTGTGTACATTGCACTTTCACAGCCTTGAAAAAGTTCTTTCTGATTGGCTTTGATCTGGGAAGTTTTCTATGTCTATGACACTTGAACTGGTCTGTGTAATTTCATGTTTCCTTTTTTTTTTTTCCTAGAGAAGAGCTTCAACTCTGTCGTCAGAACATTGGAAGTTTGGTGGAGGACAGGGAGAACTTGGAGGACGAGATAGAGCGACAGAGAGCAGCAGACAACAGGTGAGTTGGTGACTGGCCTGTTCTTTATATTCATACATGAGATGTTTGTCCAACCCCCTGTGTGTTCCGCTCGTTGTTTGTTTTAATCTGCAGTGTGGCAGTGTTTCGTTTGCGAGCCCAACACAAGTATCTGTGTCAGAAGCTGCAGAGTGAGGAGGAGCTGGAGGGCTACATCAACACTGGGCTGAAGCATCAAGAGTGAGTCCGAGAGGGAAACAGTTTGACACTAGCACATTTTTCTCAATGGGACCATTGCATTAACACTGGGGGAGCAAACACAGGGGGCTACAAATAAAACCTGCATGGTAATACAGCCCAAACGTTTCAATGTGACGTCACCTGGCAACAAAGCAAACCACCAGGCAGCGTTTAGGTGTCTGATAAACCTTCAAACCCATGAATCTATTTCTCAAAACTTCCTGGATTGTATTTCAGCATCTCGACGGTACTTGAAACAACACGCCTACACCAGTGCAGCCCCCTTGTGTTTTTTTCTAAAACAGTGCTCTTTTTAGTCAGGAAGCCTGTTCATTTGACATTTTGTGCAGCTGCATCACAGTGATTATAAACGCTGCAAACCATCATCTTCTCGTTCGATGTGCAAGAAAAGCGGCCTCATTCTGTTTTAAGGAACTGCTTGTTTTTCTAAAGGAAATTGATATCCTCTAATAGTCGGAATGCTGTTTTGTAGGCGTTTCCAATTATCACCCGCTAAGTGTTTGCCTCCTCGACCATTTGATTCAGTTGATTGATCTCATTAATAAACTAAAACCTACAAAATAAAAGCTGCATTGCGCATCAAAACCCTAATATAGTTCTAGTTTCCTACCTCTGCTCCAGTAAGTGACTTCTGCAAGATAATATACACCACCAGTCAGCGTTTTTAACTACATGTTCTATCTACATCCACCTCATTGTTGGAATGCTGTTAAGCATTCCAACAATTGTTCTTCAAATCTTTATTCCTCTTTATTTTATATTTCTTCCGTACACTTTTTGCTACTTAACTCCTTCCACATTTTTAAGCTACAGAAACCGTTCAACTATCAAAATGTTCAGCTCTTTCAGCTCATGTCTGCTATGACTTTTCATATTTCTAACCTTTAAACCTTTTGAATTATTAAGCTTTTTGCAACTTTTTTTTTGTATGGGATGTCTATGGAGAACATTTTCAAATCCTCTTAAACTTTTTCAACTTTCAAATCCTTCTACTTCCTCATACTTTCAGCTACAGACACCATTTTAACTTTCAAATGTTGAGAAAATCCTGATATATTGCCGCATAATTCAGCTTTTTGACATCTTTTACACTTTTTGAACTGTAACAATTTAACTTTTATGATTTTTTCAGTCCTTTTCTGCTTTTATAATGGGTGTGTATTGCGCAGCTTAGAGTGCGTGATGTCACCGCTAGAGTGAAGAGCAGCTTGAGATTCTTGTGAAAAAAAGATTTGTCTTTTGCCACTGTGTCCACAATCTTCACTCTTCATGCATAATTTCTGGATGTAAAAGTAGCTAATCTTGTCCTTGTCGTAGACAAATGACTGTGGAATCCCACAGACTTACACATTTGGCTCAAGGAGCCGCAGAGGGACATGAACTCCAACAAACTGCTCCATTAGACTCCATGTTAAATCTGACCACTCATTTCTCAAAGAAAGCAGACGGTACCAGTTTTGTCTATTGCTCTGCAGCTCATATTTTTAACACCACAAGCATAAAAAACACATTACCACGTTCGGCAGAGTCTTATCTTTCTCACGGTATCCATATTTTGGCACTCAGACTCCCGCTTTTTGTTAAAAGGGGCTTTGTTCAAAATCACTGTTTATTGTAATGTTTCTTAATCAGTCTGCCTCTAACACCAGGTGAGTCGTCACCATGGCAACCAGTTACACACGCACGCAGGCTCTCGCTCTCTCTCTCATACAGTCATTCAGGTCTTAGAGATTTTAAGAGGACTTTCCACCCCCCACCCCATTTCAAAATAAAAGCCCCAGAGAGTGAACTCTACCTGAAATGCTTGTGATGAAGCCTGTCATTTAATAACCTCTGTTTATGTGTGTCAAACATTATGATTATGTCTCTTCTCCCCCACCCAGTCCCACCCTTTCAAAATAAAAGCCCCACAGAGTGAAATCTAACTGGAATGCTTTTGCTGAAGACTCATTTAATAACCTGTTTCATACATTCTGATTCTGTCTCTCCTTTCTCCCCCACCCAGCCCCACTCTTTCAAAATAAAAGCCTCATGGATTAACTGTATTTAAACGTTAAGCTCAAAATTAGGCTTTTTTGTTGAAAAACTTAATGCTCTGACTAAAACTGCGACAACTACTACTGCTGCTGCTAATATAGTATTACTACTACTTCTACTATAACTTTTGCTGTTGCTACTATTACTACTACTACTACTATTACTGCTACCATCAATATTATTACTACCACCACTGCTATTACTACCACTACTACTATTACTTATACTACAACTGCTACTACTACTACTGCTATTTATGCTACTACAAGTAGTATTACTACTACGGCTATTAGTTCAACTGCTACTACTGCTACTTCTTCTACTGCCATAACTATTACTACTATAACTACTTCTACTACTACTACTGTTATATTAAATACCAATACTACAGCTATTACTACGACTACTGATACTACTACTTCTTCTAATTACTAATACTTCTACTACTACTAATACTTCTACTACAACTACAACTACCACTACTACAAATATCACTACATGACTTTTCCCTTTCAAAATGTTCAGCTCTTTCAGGAGAGGGGTGCTTTGACTTTTCATATTTGTAATCTTTTTGAAATATTAAGCTATATGCAATTTTTCTTTAATGGGATCTCTATGGAGAAAATCTTCAAATCCTGTTAAACTTCAACTTTCAAAGCCCTCTTCTTCTCATACTTTCAGCTACAGACACCATAGTTAGACATTTCAACTAGAAGGGTTTTCAGCAGTGCAGTTTAAATGCTTTCGAGCTTCAACATTTTTCAGACAGGTAGTCTCCCATTTCTTAATTTTCAGCAATTTTTTTACAATTCATTTCAGCTTTCAGCATTCCAACACATTTTCAGCAGGAAATGCATTTTCTAGTTCTACATCTTCTGCTTCTCAGACTGTTGCTGAGTGAGGTGGAGGTGGAGCTTGGCAGGTTCTCCTCGCTCCGGCAGGAGGTGCAGGAGGAGAAGCGGGTCTTCCAGGTCCTTCAGGACCAGAAGGCAGCGACAAGGCTGCAGCAGCAGAGCAAAGCCAACCAGCACCTGCAGTTCAAGATGCAGCATCACAGGGAGTAGGGAAAACCACCGTCTTTTACGTACACACTGTATTTCTACGTGTGTGTGTGTGTGTGATAGCTACTGCTCTGCTGAGCATACAAAATTATTCTCTCAGTACATTAACAAGTAAGTAGAAGACATCTGATTTCAGCAAATTATCACTGATATGCACATGGTAAATGATTATAATTGGAAAAAAGTGCCTTAAAGTATGTCCAAAGTATCACGGCCCTATGGAGGTCATGTTTGTCCTGTGACATTGTGCTGTAGCATTTTGTTATCGATTCTTTTATGAGAAGCCTGTATGGAGAATCAGTTATATCAACCTTGAAAAACCCTGTGATGACTGATATGTTACATAAGTGTTTGGGATTGTGTTCTGATAGTAAACAGGCAGCCATGCTGAAGAAAGTGGAGGCTGAATGTCAGAAGAAAATTGAAGAGGGCCAGGCGAACCGCAAGATAGCTGCCAAGTACCTGAAAGAGACCATTAAAAGGTAATCAGCCTTAAAGCCAATGAGCAGGGCTTGGACTAGAACAAGAATATGGTGTTACTCAGAGGACTCTTTGGAGAGTTGACACATCCTATTGATCATTTGCTCACACTGGCAAAATATATTACAAGTGGGCCAGGCAGGAAACTTGAAAGCACTAAAATACGTACAGAAAAGTCCTTGTTGCCAAATGCAAGAGTTTTTTTAAATCGGATACAGTCACCATAGTCCACCTCGAAGCCTAAAAGGATAAGGTCTTGCAATATTGTGTATTTTCTTATTGTTAAAAATACCCAACCTCTTGAGCACGACGCCCCCGAATTCGGGGGCACTCTGGCTCAGCACCCCTGAAAATCATGTACTGAAAATAGCCTTATTCTTCGGTAATATTGTGGATTGGTCCAGTTTTTTTCCGGATTAAACAGCAACGTATGGGCAACACCATCATATATGTCACTTCTTAAACACTCCAAACACAACTATAGACTACTAATATAAGCATCTAGAAAACGTGGCATAAAAGCATGAAATCCTGGCCAGAAATCGCCGTTATGAGTACCGCAAATCAATATTTGCACCCTGATGCTAGCGGCTACCAAGCCATGCAATGCATTTTATAGCATTAGCACACGTGGCCAAACGCGTAAATAACTTCGGTTTTTCTCTCCGTGGGAGCACTAGGAAGCTGTGAGTGGTCAAACGTACCTTCGTACTGCCCTCCGCCGAAAAAAATCGTGGGTTGTTGGCCAAGTTTTATGAAAAATGAGTACAATAACGTCGCAGATTATCCGTTTCAAAGCTGGAGTCATTGTTGCTAACTGCATCCTGTTTACTTCCGAGCTGTTTCCAGAATAAGAGCGGTCAATCCAGCATGGGCGAGCGGTCAGACTTCCGGCGAGCGGAAATTTACGCACGGGGAGACGCGGCACTTCTTGCAACTTTACTGGTTGAAACTTCTGTCAATCAACACCAAATTCGACACACGCCTTCCTGAGATGCTGACGCGTCGAATGAGGGCTTAGTGACTGAAATCGACCGATGATAGGCTGACCTACAGCCCCATACACACACATGAACTGAGAAAATCCTATAGCTGACAGCCAGAAACAGGCTCTGATGATGTTAGGAATCTCAAAATGATTCCTAACAGCTGTATTTGGATGTATTGAATAATATGAGTGATAAAAAAGTGAAATATATAGTTATATAGTATATAAAAGTACAATGTAAGAGCTGCAACAGCTGGTTCGAAAATGATGACCTTGCTTGACCGCTCTCTACTAAAGCCTCTTATTCTTCACTTTATCCCACTTTAACCTTTATTCAGCAACTACTGATCGGTTGTGCTATGATTTGGGAGAGTTTTTAGGGAGATATCTGCATTATTTCAACAACCTTATATCAATAAAAGTGCTTTTTTTTCAGGCAAACCTGATTATTTTCAATTTGAGCTGTGTAATGTCTTCATTACTATATTAACCAGCAACATATACACAATATTACCCATCTGAACAATATCACAAGTGTTGTGATCTGATTATATCAACAAAAATTATTAAAATAGACCTTGTAGTTACAGAACTATGGTCACTTTAGTGTGGGTATGCTATTTTCGAGCAGAGGCCTACAAATAGGGCCCGAGCTCAAGAGGTTAATAGACCAAAACCAACAACAAACTGATCACTGCTAGTGTTCCCTGAGTAGCCCAGTCCTGATGTACTGTGGTTTATTGAGCGCCATTTTGGTGAAACGACTATTAAAAACACATCAATGAGCCACAACGCAGCAACGGGTCACATGTTCCTTCATTACCAAGACCACACGCACTAGTTTATTATGAGTCTACATGCATCGCACCATGCAGACAAATGCAAACACCAAATGTGTATTAATCAGCGGCTGAAAATAGTCCGCGACACAATCACTGTACACTCCTGTTTGAATAATGTTCACTGTACGCTACAATGCCCAGCTGTTTTGGGAAATTACTTGACCTTTAAAAAAATGAATGAATGAAGCTATATATTTTTAGGATTTACATTTTCATGGGGAACAATGGGCTTTGGGCTGAGTGCCACGAGTCAAATGATCAAGCAAAGACTGGTAACTAAAACCCTGCCTATATAACATGCCAATAAATATAATTTGTCTATTTATATAACGATACTCTAACTTTGATTAACATTCATTTCCTGCTTCGAACAGTGAAAGAAGCTATCAGCCAATCAGACGCCTTTCCTTCTGTCTCATTACTTCATCTGCTTGCCATACATAGATGTATATTTGTATGTATTTATTTTTATAAATGCATTTACGTATCTGGAACCTGAGCTGAACAGTGTTTTCTAACAGTATGCCACATAGAAAGCTTAAGTGAACGTTATTTTTTCGTATGATACTCATTTCTTCATGATAATTAACCGCAATGACGCGTGTCAATCCCAAGCAGTGACAGCCGATTAGTTTTTCTGTCTGTCCTGTATTTGAGCGTTCAAGTGCTTTGGGTTTGTCCCCGTTTCATTCAGGATGCACCGGCAAGAGGCTGAGAAGGAGCAGCAGAGCAGGGAGCTACTGGAAAAGAGGATACAGGCTGTCAAGTCACTGAAATCTAACATAGCAGCCACCCAAGTGAGCAATACTGAAACTGTAGCATTCTTGTTGTTGTTTTCGTAGTGATGAGAAACACAACAATGGAATATTGCTTTTTTCTATAGCTACCATGTCTATAGTGTTATACTGTATAAGAAAGATTAAATCCGAAGGGAATGAGTAAACAACCTTTCAGTACAAACTATATTTAGTGATGCATTATGAGCTCATGAAGCTTTAACGACATAGTAGACCGATATACAACTTCGCTTTATTTTACTTGTGCTGAAATGTCAACGTAAGCACACATGTAACACGATGCGTGTATGAACCTGATGTTTGTCTGACAATTATTATGACAGCCAAGGGTCATAATTCATTTTAAGCAAAGCACTGCCATTAGTCCTGTGTTAACAAAATCTATTTGTTCTTCCCATGACACCCACTGGGCTCTGTATTTGTTCAGTATGAATAGCACTGTTTAAAAGGGAGACATGGCCGTGTCGTATGCATGATAATGCATTAATGTCATTCAAACAAGACTATCATTTGGTCAACTGCATTAGGAAGCCAAAGGAAATCATCGTACATTGTTTCGCCATTAGGACCTGGATTTGTTTATTCCATCCACTCTGACCACGTTCTCCTCTTAGCAGGGAGAGATGTGAGAGACATTTTCATTTTATTGTCATTACTACACCCCCTCATGGATCCCAGAATGCAGTAAATTCAGCTCTGGGCTGTGTACGCTGTTTTCGCCAGTACTCGCATGCTCAACATCATGATCTACCAATGCTGTCATCATCGTGCTGAGTGCTGTATTATACAATTTCACCATTCAACAGGTGCATTTCATAGTTTAGGAGAAAGTAGCTCTGAGAGATTCATATGACACAATGTGGTCAAATGTAGCTTCATTAATCTGATTTCTTTAGGAGAGCTTACAGGTCCAACAAAGCAGAGCCAAAGCGAGTGCCCAGAAGAAAGAGCAGCGACAGAGACAACTGAAAGAATCTCTGGAGGCCCAAGGAATCAACAGTATCAAGCATATGTACCAACAGAAACAACTAGAGGAGATAAAACGAAAACAAGCGTACGTCCTCTCTCCTCTCCTCTCCTCTCCCACATGCATGTCCTCCACTCCCACTCCATGCAGCAGTGTGTGGGTGTTTTCTCTCGCTGTGTGCCGAGGAATAAAACACCGCATTTCAGTATAATGCGGTGTTGTTGATTTGCCTTTTTTCAGGGAATTCGAGGAGAGGCAGAAGTCAAAGAGAGTGGAGATCGTGGAAAAAATGCTTCAGGAGGGACAGCAGGAAAAGAGCAGAAAGAGGCACCAGGCACTGCCGCCTAAGCCCTCGGCCACTGACAAGTTCCCATCTCTGGGGAGAGCAAGAGAGAAGCTCCTGCGCTACCTGGAACCCGGGCCCCCATCGGCCACCAAAGAGAGAGCCGCAATCGTGAGTGGTTCGAAACATCCCGGATGACATCTGTGGAATGACTGTTAAAGTCAAGTGTCAAGTGAATTTAAACAATTACGACCCACTGTGTATGTGCATTTGTTTTCAGCAGTTGAGACAGCTCAGTGACATCAGCAGCTCATCGTCGGCCTCCTCTGATGTTGAGGACCTGGAGGAAACCTTGCACCAGGAAGTGGACCGCCAGAGCCTTGCTGACAGCCTGGCTGAGCCTGAGTTCCCTGGGCTGTGGGACCAGAACTACAAGGTGCACTAAAACAAGCCACTGCCAACCAAAAGCAAAATCTTGCAAGCTGCTAAGTTTAAACACTCATAAATCATATTCCATTCACAGCAGCCACATCCTTTTTTTTCTTCATATTTTCCAACACTGAATTCCCCACCAACAAACTGGCCGCACGTTGTATAGATAATTCCACTAAAAGCCATATTTTCGACGATTTCAAAATAGGTGCTGATTCGTCTGAGTTCTTCTTCACTGATTTAATCAGGCTGGCTGGAAATTGGGGTTGAGGTTGCATGCTTTGTTAGTGTGTCCCAATAAACACAACTGTCAGTGTTTACGCCTGGGGAAACCAGTGAGGATAACGATGATACTTCTACTGATGATGACAGTGATGAAGACGATACAATAACAATGGTGATCATCACCATCGTTGTCATCATCATATTAGAATCTGGTTAATGGGTACCAAACAGTTACTGGTCAATTTGTTTCACAAACAAAGTATCACACTGATATCTGTGTCCAGAGTAATACGAACACATTAGCATACAGTAGACTGAGTGCCTGTAGGCTACTGGAGCTGACTTTCTAACACAGTTTGAGAACACTGCACATTTAGAAATCCAAAGCTGGTATTGTTTTATTATTTCTCTCAACACATATAGGCTTAGTTGACCAATAGCCGTATTTCCTAAAAATGTGGTGTAATTAAGAGCTTCCTCTATAGACGTAGTGTAGAATTGATAAGTTACAATAGTTACAATAAATATATAATCAATTTAACTCCATCACAACATAGTTTTACCGCCGCGACAGCATCAAATTCTGACCTTTCTTGAATCTGGAGATGAAGTGCCTTGCTCAAGGGCTGCTCCGTGGCCGTTGTTGATAGAGTGTGTCTAGCTGGCTGCCGCGGAGGTGAGTTGGGAGTCTTAGTATGTGATTGTGTGTAAATACTCAACCAGCTGTGCTTCCCTTTGTGGTTACAGACTCTCCTGAAAGAGAAAACAACATCGGTGCAGACAGACCTAAAGCAGGAAGAACCGGCAATGGCCAGTGGAAAGCTAAACATTCCTGCTAAAAAGGTTCATGGGAAAGAGTTGAAAGGGCCTCCATTCATCAGCAAACCAGAGGTCATCCTCTTCAAGGTACCTCACCACTGGTCTAAAAAGAATATTAATGAACTTGCGTGTGCATTTTTCCTCTTTAAAACTATGTATGTCTAATTAACAGCTGATTTTTGATCTTTTGTTGATGAAGTTTAATAGTGACATACTGACATTACAGTGAATGTTCTTTGTTAGGACTTTGAAGTTGGCACAATGTATAAGAAGACAGTTGTCCTGACTAACATCAGCTACGTCACCAACCACTGCAAGCTCCTTGGGGTCTCCACCCAACTGAAGGATTTCCTGTCTATCAAGTAAGATTTTACATTGTCAACACATTACAGTAGTGGCCACGGTACAGAGGTCTGGAACACTCTTTGTAACCCTGGAATCTGTAGTAGTATCTGTAGTAGTACTCCCCAAGACCTGTAAACAGACTTTGATGCATTGAATTGGTGTCCCCCTTTAATAGGCTATAATATAAAAGGGACTTTCAATTCTTCTTTTGCTACCTAAACCTTAACTTCTCCATCCAAATTCCATGAAAGTCTGGATGGAGGTATGCAGTTCCCCCCCTGCCTCCAGACTTTGCGATCACGTGACTTGGATCTAACTCTACTGGACGCACAGGGATTAAATTGATCTTTATTCTCTGAGTAAATACCACAGAGAGGGGCCAAAATTATTGAACTGTCCCTTTTAAAGTGTCAATGTACCATCCTTACAGAGCTACCCATCGCTCCAAATGCCATAAGGAAGTTGCTTCTACATCGAAATTAACACACTAGACTTTGAAAGAAGCCAGCAACTCCAGGTTGGCTCTGTGTATCACTGTGGGGCAAATCAATCTCTGTGGGGGCAAAACAACACACATACCATTGCATGAAGCAGCCCACCAGAACCTAAAATGAATCCCATCTGAGGAAAATATTGAAATACTGATCTTACTGAGATAAAATAGACACCCGAATAAACACAATTAAGCACAGTTGTTCAGTGTATTGCGACAACACTCGAGCTGGAGGTGTGTGCAACAACGAATGTTAAAGCTCACTATGAAGCCACTATATGTTTGGTCGCTTCAATTATCACATGGAAACATCTGTCGATGTATCACCACGTAGGACTTCAATACAACCGCTTCTTGTCATTTTAAAAGATGTTGGAGTGGACGTGAAAGCAGAGCCTGTCCTCCCACATATTGACGCCAGCTTGTATCACCACGATCGCAGCTCCTCTTATGAGACTCAGCGCAGTGAGTCAGTCTACGTCTCTGCTATCTCCTCTCTCGCTCTCAGGCTGCCACCGGCCCACAGGCCAAACAGAGATGCATTGTTCTCCAGGTCACTCACTGTGCATCACTTTCCCATCAGCTCCCCCGTGACTTGATGTGGTTTCTTCGTCTCTCTTCGTTCTGCCGACTGAGTGAAGAGTCTCCCAGGCTACAGCAGGGTCAGCTGGAAACTACCGATGCCGCTCTTGAGCCTTCGTGCTGGACCACTTGTCTGAACACATCACCTTTAGTCCTCTGATCTGAGTGTACATTATACCCACGCAACTCCCTATTTCTTCCGTTGTTGTTAGGCGGGTGTTAAATAATAACAAAGACAAATAACGAAGCCAAAACAAGTTTTCTTCCTTTAAGGCATGCATCAATACAAACCATGTACAGTCGAAGATGGTGCAGTATTTATTCCTCACCCACGACTTCAGTGCTGCTCAGCAGCAGCAAAGAAGACTACAGTTGTATTGCCTATTATTGTTCAATACAGCACATTGTTAATTTGAATGGAAAGTAACTTTTTTAGTTTCTGTATTTCCGCCTGAGTGGTAGTCTAATCCTAAAAGTCTGTTGGAATAAATGCTAACCAACAAATTTTATGAGCCGCTGAGTGACTCAAATATCTAAATTAGGATGATCCAGCACCATGATAGTACGTACTACTTCTATGTCAGATTTAGTGGTTAATGTTAGAAAAACTTTGAAAACTTTAAAACGAGTAAACAGACCGTGCAGTACCTCACCGGGAGACATGTTTGTTGTTTCCTGCTTGTCATGCCGTTCCACTCGCTCACAGACAGGTCAACAACTGATGCTGTCAGGTTCATCTGACTTCTGCCAACACATTGGGTCCATCATACAGTCTATCTACTATTCAATTATGTCGTGTTTACATACATCTGACTGATTATTGACACAATATTAGAAGGAGTCATGACCAATGGATGACTCATTCAGCTAAAGAACAATAAAAAACAATTTCATTTATTTTCTTGAATAAAAACTCTCGCTACAAAAATCCCTGGGTTCAAAATAAGACCACTGCAGTACTGGTACTACTTAAATTGAATTGAATTGAAACAACCCTTTGTATGGTAAGGTTTTCCACCAATGGGTAGTGGGTAAAGTTAACCCATTATTCCATTGGTGCTATATTGACTCACACTAGACCTATTTCTAACCCAGTAAGTTTAAGTGGGTTAGTAATAAGCCCAGCGAAAGATTGATTAAAAAAGAGTAAAAATAAGGATTCAATAAATGTTGTATCATGTTTACAGTATACTACTGTAAACCGTACATATTTAACTATTGTAACTGTAACCACCACCATATCTGCAACAGGATAACAGACATAATAGTGGAGGAATCATATAGTTTGGTTTCTATTGTAGTCAGGAAGACTAATTAAAAAGCTGAATTATGGTCACACAAATTCACCTCTTTCTGCCATTGTACCCTCCTTCTACTGTTCATTGTCTGTTGTGTTTGCCTACAATATTGAGATCAGTCATGACAACTGCAAACCCCTCGTGGCTCACGCAGCCAAAAACCATTAGCACATCAGGAGAGAGAGAGAAATGTGAACTAGGAACACACTGGGCTTTTTCACACCATCCCATGGTTCCCTGTACGCCCCCAGAGTTTCTAAAAATGGCTTCCCATCCCCCTACACCCCCTCGCCCAGCGTGCACGCATTGTGCATTTGTGCCAGAATGGGCTCTGCTGTATGTTTTCACTACTGGGACTAAATACACAACAGCTCAGGCCAGACTTGGTGAAAAACTATTCACTATAAACAGTGTTTATGCAAGTAGTTATAATAATAATAATAATAATACAATTATTATTTACATCGCATTTGATAGAGCAGGTGTCACTTCCTCGCATGTATTGCAAATGCTGAGAGTTAGACACTCTTCTGTCGTCTGTTTTCTCCTGAGCTGTGTTGTGAAATAAAAACTGTAGACTGTAGAAATGGTGGTACTCCACAAAATCTGAGGCTGCCCTCACACCTACAATTTTGTTTAGTTTCATCCAAATCCCGCAGCACATGGGAGAATTACCCCGACGTCTCTGAATTGTTCAGTTAATGGCCTTTCTTGCACGCTTGGGCTGCTGAATAAAAGTTTTGAATTCGATATGACCCCCTTGATTAACAAATTAATTTAACATATACAGCCTGTCTTCTCAATATCAGCCGACATTGTAGGCTAGTTAACTTTCTCTTTTAACCCCGGAGGGATATCTATTGTGAAATAAGTTGGACTATTAAGAATTGTGAGCTCGCAGACGGAGATTTGTAAACACCGATCAAATCCTGAGAGTGAGCAATGACTGAATTTCCATCAAAATAACTGTTTCAATCTCACAAAAGGAAACAAATCTCTAGAATTGAGTGGCAGCAGAGCTGGTTGATCTCCGATTTGGAAGTCTGAATGCCTTGCATGCAAACTCCAACTGAGATCAGAGCAAACCCCACTTAACTTTGCCTCGAGTAAAGTTCCAGCCTTTTAAAACCATCTTCAAAGTGGCCTGTCAACCTTTTGATTTGTCTGAAAGACTTTGTGACTGTCAAATAGATACAAACCTGACAGCCACAGTATGTTATAGTTGTGCCCCGTTGAAACATGTCAGCTAAAAAAAAAGTTGGTAAGGGCCTTTTCATTCATTCTCAAGTGCTTGTAATCTGTCAAAGGAAATTCCAATGACTGACATCAGAAAGCCGTGCTGCACTTAACTGTGCTTGTTGTTTTATTCATCTTCTCTGGTCGTCTGACTAACAATCCACAAAGAAATAATTCAACAGGAGAATCAGTCAAAACTGCAGTGGAGCTCAATATTATTTTTAATCTAAAATAATGGTAACTCAATGGCAGCTCATATACCACAGTTTGCTTAAAGATCCACCAGAAAGAAAACAATAAATCTCTGATTGGATTAATTGACCTAAAATGCTGCTCTTTGAAACACTTGTCGTTGTCAATACTTCATTGATTTCATATAATTGCTAAAACTACGGTGCAGAAATGTGAATAATATTGTAGCCACTCGATGTAACGAGAGCAAGATCTCACTTCTGTGAAATAAGTACGACAGCAAGATTATTCGAGTAATGTTCTCACACGTCGTCCGGGTTTTGATGCTTCGCTGTAAAGCGCTTTCAGAGTGTGAAGATGTTTAAGCTCTGTTGAGCTGAATAATAAACTGAGAGGGCTTATTAATTTACTGTACGAGAAGCCAATGGGCCTGAACGTAAAATAGAGCACGGCATAGTCAGTAACACCGTACAGCCGCGGTCTCAGCTTCATCACTTCAGTCTGCTGCGATAGATATACTGTACAGTATGGCCTCGTTTGCAGCACTCTAAATAGGGCTCTACCAGGCGTTTTCAAACTCTGCCTCACTCAGCATTTAATCCCAAGTGAACTGTTCTATTTTTTTTTTTTTTCTCTTCACACTCTTTTCATACCACCTATCTTGAAGCTAGGAAAGAAGAGTTGTACCGATAAGGAAGGGAATTAACCAAATGAAAAATAAATTCTGATGAAAGTGCAGTGTGACGTTCATAATTACCACCAGACTTCATACACGTCCAGGTCACAGTGGTGAGCTGGATACCAGCTTCAGCCAGCCATCCTGACAGCTGCACCAGCAACTTCAAACAGTTAACTCTCAAGCCAAACATAATGGTCCATTGCACACTGGTGTTTATGATAGTATGCACAGATTGCTAATTATGTCACCATTTTCAAGGTTACAAATATTATTATTTATTACAGCAATCTAACAATGGCACATAATGCACCTTTCAGGTTCAGCAAATGGTGCTATGTATATATCTGTATATCCTTGATTGTGAATTAAAGCTTGTGAATGTGTAATATTGGAGGAACCAGGAAGAGTACGCTAGATTTTAAAATGTATCGAACCGGAAAAAAACCCAGCCCAGAGCTACCAACTCTTTTCCGGTGAAAGTAGCTGGCAGCACTAGCTCCAAATGTTGCTAAATCTAGGGAGAGAGGCCTCCCTCCGAAGCCACTCCCCCAAGATTATCACTATGAACGTAAACATATCATAATCAACGTGAACAACAACATGGCCATTGTTGGTACTCCCTCCCATGCTACACCCTCCCACTACACACCTCACTCCTTAGCGGAGGTAAATAGTATGAACCCTTCCCATTTCCGATGCTCGGCTTTCGTCTTCTTCCATCTGAAGGCTAAAATGTCAACTTTGGCACAAAAGATATCTCATAAACTACAAACGAGCTAACGCATGATTGCAATCAGATTCAAATTTGTCAAATTTTGTAACAAGATGATATCATTACCAAGACCTTATAACATGGTCGTTTGGTATACTTGATGTTCTGTGACTGTAGCCGCTTCCTAATTATGCTCATAGTTGCATGTTTCCCACTTTTTTGTTTATCTATTGAATTTATGACCATCCTCCCTGCTTCTCTGGCTGCCTGCTACATTCATATCGATCGGCTCTCTTCTTGTGTCTTTTTTGAAGGGCGAGCGAGTTGTGAAGCTCCTCGGGGCAGCATCAGGGTCGGTGTAAACGTGCTGTGAGATACACGTTTTCTTTGAAATAGCTCCCAGTCCTCGTGTTTCTCTTCTTGTCTGGAAATAAACTTTTGCTTTCTGCTCTGGTTTACATTCCAGGATGATAATGAAATAAATCCATATGGAACAATAGCTTTTTCTTTTCTTTTCTTTTTTTTCTGCTCCGTGCAAACTGAGCAACAAACATGTTGACTCTTGACCTTCGCTTCTTACTTCTGCTTATGTTCTCTCCGGTCTCAGGAGATTCATCACACTTCAGCATTTCATCTGAAGCTGCTGATTCCCTTGTTGAATGCAGCGTACCTCCTAATGCAAAGGCATGCGCATTCTGTGGTGCTTTACAACCGTGTTTCCACCGAGCCTTTTTTTTATGTCATTAATCTACCCACGTGTGAGGCCGTGTGAAGACAAAAATACACACTGCTTTTACATTATAATAATGCTGATTTTGTTACTCATAATTCATTGTGATTTGTGTTTCAGCTTTGAGTCTCCTGTTTCTTTATCCACTGGGATGTCCTGTGACATGCAGGCTGTTTTTCAACCTCTGGTTAGTGACGTCACCCCTCCTTTTAGACATATACAGCGCATACATCTTTGTCTCCAATTGGAGTAAAGCATGGTGCAGACTTTTGGTGTCGTTGCATAAACACATGTCTGTAACTGCATGTACATAAATGGTCATAATACTGAACACCACTCTGCTTCATTTCTGCTTTATTCTTCATATAGCAAAGTTTATATAGCTTCGCAGTGCACCTTTTAATGTGTTCTTTTCATGATATTTAATACAGTGCAGTCAGTGGCACCTTTTTTCTTGAGTCTGTTATGTTCTATAGCACATTGGATTTAAAATTAAGTAATGCCTACATGGTCAAGGTTCTGGCTTTCAGCTTTAATTTGAGGGTTTTCACATCCACCTCAGATGAGCAGTGTAAGAATCATACAATGGAATATCTGCTTAATTATGTGCCTTTGTGTATTACCTAGTCTTTGACTGATCTGCTCCTTGCCATTATGAGCAGTGCAAGGCAACGAGAGGTACAGAGGCCTGAGATATTCCCCGCAGGGTTTGTTAACAAATCAGATATACGATGATAGTCAAATCCAAAAAACGTTATATATATATATATATATATATATATGTCCTTGTGAAAAACTGCAAGAATCAACAGAAATGCAGGAACCATAGATTTTTTCATACATCTTTCTACATATTCTCATCAGCCAAGTCAAAACTCATTCTCTGCTCGATGTCATTTCATTCTTTTTTATAAAGCAACACATTGTCCCATTGTTCAATCCCTCTCAGATCAACGAGGACGTGGAAGGTGAGCTCCAGTTTGCGTCAGCAGTGGGTCGCTTCTCTGTGCCCGTCAGATGCACCATAAAGAAATGTAATGTGAGTAGTGTGCTGTAGCCAACCTAGAGAGAATTAGTGTTCCAAATGATTACCAATGTAATTGTAATGTAAACATGCTATAGTTTTGGAGCGTATGAGTATATACAACATGGAGTTTGTTGGCCCATATAGCTGTAGCTTTAGATTGCTATAGTCATAATGATATATGAAGAATAGGAGCAATAATTATTGAATTAATGTGTAATCCCCGCATCGCGGATAAACAACCGAGTAGCTCCTCTTTGCTGCTGCTTTTTGCTGTATGTCAATGTATCCTCTCTCTCTAGCTGGAGGTAGACAGACAGTTCATTGACTTCGGTTCGCACGTGGTGGGCCAGACTATTTCATGGACTATCACCTTGACCAACAAGGGTGCACTACCCACCCTCTTCAGCCTGGACACCTCCACATGTCTCAGTCCAGAAACCAGCCAGGCCCAGACGGCTTCCCAGGTCTCTGCCGACGCCTGCCGCCAGGTCAGACTGTAGATCCGGACCTCAAAGTGTTGCCGGTCCTTTGGTGGCCTGATGGAGCAAATTTACAGCTACAAATGAATTTAGAATTAGAGCATTTTACAGCGCACACGATGAATGTGTAGTCAATTGACATTACCAGGTCAAAAGACATTTGAATAAAGTCTCATGTATAAGAATCCGATGTGTGTGTTGTTGTTGGCTGACAGGAGAAAAGAAGTCAAAACACAACATCTGACGACCAGAGCAGCCCTGTTTCCATGGGCACCGGAGAACTCCAACCGAAGCAAGAGAGTCAGGAGCACCCAGGTAAAGCTGTGATACGTATGTACACATAATGCCAATTTTAACGACGCTACTGCCTAATTTTGGTACCATTTCTTTACTTTTTCCTGAACCCAAGTCCCCATCCTAAAATAACCCTGTCCCCCAGCAAAATATCTTTAAATGAAACTGTGGGGCAGTTTTCTTCTGCATTATGTTCTCTAGCAGTGCTTTGATAGAGGAGAATATTTTTCAAACATTTTTGATAGTATTTTGTAGCTATGCTGGTGTGTGACCATGTCAGCACACCGATGTGAGCATTTAGCTCAGGTAGAGCCTCACAGAGCAGCTAGCATTGCTGTAGAGTCCTAGTCTTGTTTCATAATGTAGTAGGATGTAGTGACCTTTTCAATATCAACCAACACTTAGGAACTTGGCAAAGTGTTTTGAGTTGACTAAACAGAGCCATAATCATGCTTTAGTTACAAGAAGCGGTGTTGTAGGGGGAAATAATATATATAAATGAAAAGTCAGTATATACTTTTTGCTGCCATGCTGATGAAAATATACTCTGAGCAGCATTTCATTTCCTGCTACACATATTAACCAATGCAGTTGTGAATGAACATCGTTTGTAGAGGACAGTGTTTCCTAAAACAGCCTCTGAAATACAGGAAGTGAGGACTGACAAAATCTCCTCATTGTTGAGGATTTCTCTCATCTTTCTATTTCTGTTAGTACATTTGGTCCTGGTAAGAACAAAAGAAAAGAAAGGAAAGCACACGCAGAAAGCGAAGGGTTCACCTTGCTCTCACAGCTGATTCCTCTCATCAAAGAGATGCATCTTCTCTTTAGTGTTCTCTCAGATCAGAAGTCTTCATCGCTGCACTCAGCACTTTTCCCCACTGATGCTTTGATAAGCTGTTCAGTCTTTTGCCTCTGCTGTTTCTTCTATTCGCCAGTGTTGGGAGAGGCTGTCTGATTTAGGCCAAATGTTTAGGCTGCTGGCAGTAGTTGATGTTGTTTATTTTTTTAACGTTATTTACTTTTTATGTCACCAATATCTCCTGAACTACTGGCCAGATTGCAGATTGATTTGATGTGCCCATTCATGCTCCGAAGCATAAGTGGTACTTTTATTTTCTCGGTCAAACTGTCAGGATTTTGATGATGAGATTTCCCTTAGTGCCACCATGAGGCCAAATTTTGGCTTATGGAACAATTATTTAATTCGACCTCTCAACCACACAACAGCAGAAATGACCTAAGATCAGGTTTTGGTGTGTGTGTGTGTGTGTGTGTGTGTGTGTGTGTGTGTGTGTGTGTG